CTAACCATAAAAAACAAGGAATAGATTACTCACTTTGGTTTGCACACGCACTGAACTTGACTTGATAGAATAGACGAGTAACAGTGTAGAGAGAAACCATGGCCCAATGCCGAGTAGAAGTTGACGCAGTGAAATCTGCATTTGAACTGACCTAACCGAGGAAAACCTCGTGGATATATCTAACCGGAGAACACGTACGCAAAACCTAACGGTTATGACTATTTCCCTAACGGACATAGCAGCTGAGGGCTGGTCAACCACAGTAGATTAAGTAAGTAAGTAAGGCCTTGTTTGAAAGTGACAATTACTTGATAGCATCTACGGTAAAGTAAGTTCCTGCGACAAAAAACGAATTAACATCACGTTTCAAAACCAACAATTGGGACGCTTATTCAGGTACTGTACTGTATTTTTGTACTGTATTTTTCTCGCAAGATCAAAAAGAAGCTCATGCTTTGGCAAGAAGACAATTTCCTGGGGTCTCAGCTGGAGTGTTCATGACTAAATCAGTTTAATGTAACTGGTTTCACAAGATATCAGAGCATTACAGATTTTGAGTTAACAATGATTACATGAAATGAGATGGTAAGACTTGACTGGTATTCCGTAACAGTCTTGAGACCTTTAACTTATGACGTCAGTCGAGTCTGGCTTGCAAGTTTTAGTGATTTCCTGTCTTAATCGAATGTCCAAACAGCGACTGAACCCAAAAACCTGGCGATGTTTTCAAGAGCGATCGTTCATGAACCTTATTTTACCCTGTGGAAAAGACGTTGGCTCGCAGTGTCAGTGTGACTATCATGGTCTGGATGAACAATGAGGCTGCATCTTCCATTTTCATATCCTAATCCAAGTTCAACACTATCTGTTCACTGTTAAATTATCTGTGGTTTCGAGTTCAGACTCCTCATCTTTTCCATTTTCCTCTTGTTGTCCTTCGTCGTGTCCAACACTTCTCGAAATCGATGTCACGGTAAATTTCGACAAGCACTTATCGAGTCGCTTCAAAAACGTGTCCACATCAGCTTTACTCATCCCTATCGCCGCAGCTGCAGTCATGTACGCACAGCGGTAGTTTCGGGCATGCGCACCCCAGCCAGTGAACACGTGACCATTGATGTCTTTCGTGCTCCCAAGTGGAACCACTCTAAATGAGAGACATAATCAAAGTAAAGAAGAAAGGGTCATGGAACAGTCTTACACATTTTCTCATTTAGCTAGGGTAGGGGAGAAGTACAGCTGTCCAGGAAAAAAATGTCGTTTTACGCGTGTTCTTACTGGCCATGACGCTTGACATTGTAAGATGTTTGTAAGCAACACTAGAGTTGCGTCAAAGGGCGTGATCTCTTGGAGTGTGGGCTAGACACGCCCATTGACGTGAACATAACATAAGGTTTACATCTTACCTTGCCCCTGAAACGCATCTTGTAAAAAGCATGGAACCCAGTTGGGTGACGCCAGCTGCGTTGAGTTCCAAGCCCTTCGTGACTCGCTCCAATGAAATCGCTAGAAAGGCCAAAAGAAAAACATCAAAAACCTTTTAACTATTTCGCATTAATGTTGAAACCAACCAGGAATCTGAAACAACCGTTAGACGAAGAATCAGAAAAAAAGGAGCGACAAGAATCTACGAATATGCGAAGCCGTGTTTCAGTATGTCTCGTACATTGTTGCTGTACTGCATAAAGTGTAATTCACTTCTTGCAGAAATTTCAGGGATCACAAAACCTCTAACAAACCTCTCAAAACATTAGACTGTACAAGATAAACAAAAGTATCTCAATGCAGTGAAAAGGACTGAAGAAGAAAAAGCCACCTCGAGATTCAAGAATTGCATCTTATTCGCTTAAGGACGTTCGCGCGAAAAATTTCCAGTCGATAGATTTTTAGTAAATTTTTATTGCAGTCAGATAATGAGTTACTTGTGTCAGAAATGCAAAAAAAATTGGGGTCACCGTCTTCGTTTCAGAGATAAAGCGTGTGGAAAACTACCATGATTTTGAAAAATTGGCGCACGTAATTCAGCATGGTCTACAGGGGTTTATAGTTAAAAACATCGAAGGTGAGTCGACGGAGGCAAACGATCTTAGTCATATTTTGTAGAAGTGGGTCTGTTGGGTAAATAATTCCAAGTGTTACCAACGTTTTCACAAAACTTAACCCTTCAAGAGGCATTTGAAACCGTCGCACAGATAAACCAAGAGCTAAAAATAATGGAATTCGATGGTGCATTTTGCAAAAAAAATTCAAACTTCTAGTCGATAGATTTTCTTCATTTTTTTGCTTAACGTAGAAAATCGGTGGACAAAATGATCCATCAAAAGAAAAATAGGGGTCACCGAACGTTCAAGATCGTTAAATCCAGGCTAAGCTATAGCAATGGCCACCTGACCTATCATTGTTCATTTTATTACTCAGCGCGCGCTCTCATGCATCACATGGCGTGTGAATTTCTGTGCGCAGTCCTTAATAGGCAAAAGTGTATCGCTGGAAGACTCCAGCGAGCTGTTATAATAATTTCAGTGCTTTCAATCTAAGGCAAAGTCATTCCTTAAGTCCTGACCTACATCTAATTTCTCCTACAATATCTCTGCATTTTCCAGTAGTAAGGTGACCAAAAGAAAGAAAGTCACCAAACTCTCCTAAGTAAAGACTAACGTTGAAAGTTTGGCCTAAACGACCATTTGTTACTGAGGGTGTGGTCATTAGAAGGCTTTAGATTGTGTACATTACCAAGAGAGATGGGGTTGCCTTTGGTGCTCAGAAGCCGCTCTCCATGTGCTGCCGCTACCCTTGATAGGCCCTCAGATAAGTAGCTGTACACTTCCTGAAAAGGAAAAATGTGTAAAAGAAATTACAATCACGGTGGAGCAGCATTTTCTAGCTTTTAGTTCCGCTCACCTAGTATTGATATAACAGTGAAAGGCAGTTTTCAACAGGTCAGTTTAACTAGAGAATACCGGCACTAGTAAGGAGACTGGCTTTTTCTCAAAGATTGAAACGGTTATAACTGTGACTTCTTGTTCTCATCGATTTTGTACACTGCCAACAGAAGAGGTTTGGCTTCAAGGAATAATAAAGCGATAAGCATCAAGTGGCCAATTACGTTTTTGCCCGATTTCTTGAGTAAGCCAAAATCTACGTGTGATAGAGAGGTAAGCGTTATAAAGCATATTGGCACACCTTTCTCTGTTGCAGAAGCTGTTGATAACCAGCTGACCCAAGTGACAACAGTGTGATAAACAGGTCTATAGAGGGAGTGGCTGACGCTCGACCTGATGATAAAATGATAAAACATCATCATTATCATTAACATTGCATTAGAAATCTTAATACTCACCAGTCAGCTTAGTTTACAAAACTACAAATTGTTAAGTAACAAAAATCGGTAAAAGTAAAGAATCCGATCCCACCGACGCGTCGGCCGACAAACCACCGACAAACCACCGACATACTACCAATGCGTCGGCAAAAATATTTACCTTTTTAACTGTTACTCCTTTCACTTTTTTTACTTCTTTCAGTCGGAAGCAAGAACAACCCCATCTATAGTCATTGTGGAGTAGAGAGATGGGAAAGGAACGCGTGTAAACTTAGTTTTTCTTTTTCATTCTACCTTTTTGTCATCATTGAATGATACCTACTGTTAGAGTGTTGAAAACTGCACACAGTCATGAAGATTATATGTCGTGAAAATGAACTGTACAGTAGCCCAGTAGCAAAACTTACCAGGATATGTTTTGCTAACAGCGTCTATGAAATTCTCATCAAATCCTGCTACAATAGCTCCACCAACGGGAACCAGAAAGTTTTTATCAGTACTTTGAATAAAGGCATCTACACGACCTATCCGTGCTGCCTGCAACACCAAGCCAAAAAATGATACAGTGTATCAACACCTAGCCTGTTGTGCTCCGGCTGGAACTGACTGTGGGGGTCGGGAGGGCAGGGGGTTGAGGTGGGGGGATGGGTCAACTCCCCTCCTCTCTCTTCTTTCTTCCTGGTTTCTCTTCACCTGTTCCTCAACTAAAGAGGCTGTTCACAGGCTAATCAACACATGATAACATGAATGGGGAGCTGTAGATATCGGTTACTCAACATATATTTTACCCTCTCTAGAGAAGGGGGATTAATAGTTCTGCGTAAATGGAGAAAATGTGGTGAGGGGACAACAAGCATGCACTGTAAATCCCTCTATCTTGTATTGCCATTCTATACAGTCTGGAACTCCCAGGACTTCAACCTCTGAAACCAGTCCATTCTCAACTTGTTTCTTGTGCAGTTCTGAAAAATATATCCATGCCAACCCCAAGAAAGGTCACTGGAAATTTCCAGAGGAAGGAAGGAGTTTTGAAAGGTAAGTATGAAGCTAACCTGGGATCAAAGTCATGAATATTTGGAACACCCATGCACCCTCTTTCCCAGCACAATGTAGGATGGTGCAAAACACCTTAACTCCTCATTCAGTAAGTTTAGTTTCTACACGACACTGAAGGGTGGGAGCGGCTAGAGTGGAAGGAAGAAGAATTTAAGGCCAAGTGTACCAACATGTGGGGGTCAGTGATTGAGGAATTTCCAGAGGGGTGGGGTGGAACGGAGTGAGTTTAAACCAAAACAGCTTCCATGGGAGGGGTAAGGATATTTTCTGGAACAACATAATGATGCACAAAACTAAAACTTCAAAACCCATAGTATTCCCTCCTATGTTAATGACCTCTTTCTTGATTAAATTTCTTTCCTGACTTTCCCACCCTCTCTTTCCACCTCCTCCTACTGATAATAACCCTTCATCAGGACAACTTAGGCAGTCCCCTTCATGTCACGTAAGAATATACCTGCTGAATGAGATGCATGCACTTTGATGACTGCACACCATAGGCATTGTTCACAATGTGAGGTACATCTTGTTCCTTGCACAACTTTGCAACTTCTTCCAACCTTTAATGCACAGGCTTCTCTCATTATTGGTTGACAAAACATGCATAACTTGACTTTAAAAATGGTTACCATGGTAGTTGTATACAACTCTTAAAAAAGCTAGTCATTTGAATTTCATGTTTGACAAAGTGCACCCTGCTTGCAGTAACTTCATAATTCAAGACCAGTGGTAAAGTGCTTGCACTGGATTGACAAAAGATCCTGGGTTAATCCCACTGAAGCCTTTCACACAGTTATTATATAATTATGACTTATTTCATACATACATTAATACTTAGCTTGATATGTTAATATACTATAATTACTGCATTCAACAGATCTTCATCTTGTTCCTTGTGCCTTTGTTTCTTACTGCACAAGCTTGACAAAGAGAGCAACTCTTGAAAGTTCCATTTCAGGCTTGATTTTGACTGGTTTTACACAATGAAAATGAGCAGAGTAAAACACCAGTGAACCAATTAGGCCAGGTGTTTGTCAGCTAGAGATGTGCAGTTCACCCACACTTCTGAATCAGAACTTCCAGGAGTCATTTGTTTCCTAACCACAGTGGGCAATGGGAACAAAGACTCTGACTATGAGGTTGAACAGATCTTTAATTTTCTAACTCCATACCTGTCTGGGATCCTTGGAGCAAAGCAGCTAGTTGTAGTCATAATGCAGACCACATTTTCTGGCCCCAAGTCTTTGATTTGCTTCTCTACAGCTGCAAGATCTGTTCGCAGCTCATCACCCTCCTCAACATTCTCCACAATAACTGGTTCAAATCCTGGTGCAAGAGACAAAAATAAATGTTCATTTTTTTCATCTAAGTGACAATTTTGACTCAGACAGTTTCAGTCTTATCTAATCTGGTATCCCTCAGAATTTCCTAAATGATATTTCAAAGAAAGCAGGGGCCTCGTTAACGTTTTCAGCAGGAGGGCAACTGGTTTTCACAGGTGGGCAAAACTTTTTGAACTGAAGTTCACTACAAGAAAAAAATTTCCTCCAGAGGGTCAAACCAGGTAGACAAAATCATCCTTCCAGCTGGTCAATTTGCCTGGCTATGCCCGGTCCTTAATGAAACCCCTGACAAAGACAGCTGAAGTTGTATTATTTTTAACAAAAACAAATCAAATAGCATGTGTGATAACCTATCTTAACACAAACAAAATAAAACGTTTGGGAGAATTTGAGAAGGCTTGAGTCAAGAGCATAATCCATTTCAACTTTGTAACCTTTAACATCTTGCACATTTTCAACACAGTTTTCAGTATTTTATCAACACCTGTGAAACAACTTCTAACAATTAGTCAAAAGTAACCAAAACTTACAAAAGAAAACAATGGAATTAGTATCTGATAGTATCTAACTGTGTACGAACTACTTCATGGGTTAGGTAAAATCTTTCTAGTACTTTCATAATTCTTCAAGACTTTTTTGCCAAGACTTTGTTTGCATCAAGCTAACTCTAGATGAGAAGCAGCTGTTTTCCATTTCTCTTATGAGATAATTAAAACCAATGAATGCAGTGAAACATTAAACCTCTTGTGCAAAATGGAAACAATAGACAACCAATCAGAGGGACTGTTGTACACACATGATCACAATCATATAACATATTTAAACTAGATTATATAACAGCAATAATTAACTCACCAGCAGTGAGAATGCACTTAAAACAAGACTTCTGATCGATTCGAGGCCAAATCACATATTTGGCACCAGGTCTCTGTAGCTTCAATGTCAGAAGTGTCATGACCAAACTCATCCCTGTTGCTACAGGCAACACTAGGCAAGCTTTAGCAGACCTTACACCTGTCAATAAAATGCTGATATTAATCGTTTGTACATGTAAGTATACTTTACACTCTTATCTCTTTCTGTGCCTCTCTACATCTGGGTGTGAACAATGGGTATCAGAACAATGTTGGGTCAACCTGGTGAAAATGCTGGAGATAAGCTATCCCAATGGATACATCCCATCATGTAGGAGGAACAGTATTTGCTAGTAGCTGCATGCTGTAAAAAGTAGAGTTAAACTCTGAACAACAAGGTTTACAAAAAGTGAACAGTGTGCCACTTTCACTGTCAATGTTCGCCATGTTAACAAGATCTCTGTATTGTTTTAATCCGAATTTTTTATTTGAACCCTCAATGAGATAAGAACTAACCTGCCATTTTGATAGCATCCAGTGCCATACAGTTGGTGAGTTTCATCAACAAAGATGAACCAGCAGCCTTGGGTTGAACAGCTGCTATATCGCCAGACCTGCCAATACCATGGCTTAACCTTACAAAACAACAGTCAGTCAGAATATAAGGGTAAAAAGTTGTTCCAATCTTTAAAGAGTGCATAATTTACACTCTGGACCTAGAGGACCAGATTTGCCTAGCTAGATTGTTGGCGTGGTGACCTCATGGTTAGTACACCCGTCTCCAGATCGAGCAGTCCAGGTTTGAGCCCTAGCCAAGGACATTGTGTTGTGCTCTTGGGCAAGACACTTTACTCTATCTCAGAGTGCCTCTCTCCACCCAGGTGTATAAATGAGTGCTGCCAAATTTAATGCTGGGAGTAACCCTGCAATGGACTAACACCCCATCCAGGGGAGGGGGGTAGAAATATTCCAAGTCATTATTTCATGTTACAGAAACAGGAGATAAGTGCCTGTCTGATGGGCTACTTGGCTCTTATGCAGACTTTACCTTTTTTGTGTGGCAAAGGTTAAATGGCTATTTTATGAGGTGAGACAAAAGGGGGAGGAGGGAGATCCAGGTTTTTCTAGATACCATCCATCACCTATCAATTAAAAACTCCTTTTATGAATTACCTGAAATGCCTTCTTGACACCAGGGATGAAATCACCCTTCCTTCTCTTTCTCCTGCACCAACATTTCCTGTAACCAGCAAATTATCCTGTTTTAAAATGGAACTGCTACACCAATCTATAACCTCATCAATATGGCCAACTCAAACCCTGTTCAGTCTATGATCACTTTTTACTTTAATTTAAAGGAGGTGCATCACAATATTTAAGGTAATTTTTTTTTCTGAACATTTTCAAATTGAAGGAAAGTAACATGAAAACAAGAGCTTCTAATTCAGACTACAGTAGAATAACACCAAAAGAAAGACTAAGAAAGAAAACAGGCAACAAATTTGAACAAAATTTTTTTTTCAAGATCCACCATGATGTTGCTCCTCCAAATATACAGTCAAACTTCCACTAATAGCAACCACTTCTATAATTCCCACAATCTTGATTCTTGGTCCCAATGGTGTACTGATCAGCATCTATTTATGTACACAGACCAGTACTTTATTTGAAAACTCCTTACAACTGCCACCTCCCTTCAACAACATCCTCAAACTATTCTAGTCTTTAAACCTGATTAATGTGTGTTACCTATGATGTTCGCGCTTTTAGAGTACCTGGAAAGTTGTTACTGTCCATAATAGAAAATTCTTGCAGCAGAAGTTCAATACTGATGTCATCCCAACCCTCGGACGGCCATTTCCTCTAACAGAAAACAAATTGTAGATGTCAAGATACAAATTGATAACTTGAAAAAAAAAAAAAAAAACATGATATAAATACACTACCACAGTGGCAGTCATGTGACTCTGTTGCCATGCACTTACCCCGTTGAATTAGTTAAAGGGCATAGAGTTGTTGTTGTTAATATAGACTGTTCTGACAAATATGAAGGAAAAAAGATTTCTACTTTAGATAATGACAAAGTATTTGAATATGTTTGTGCAGTGTTTTGGAAAAACAATTTTCCAAGACTACTAATGTGAGTGTTCCATCTTAGTGACTGGTATTGGAGACCTTGGAGCGCTCAGGGAACCAATCAGAGTTCTCCTTTTCATGGTGGACCAGATTCCCACGTTAACTGTTATTCTGCCATACGCCTCCATTGAAGGTCATCGGAAATTTCGAAGGGTGTATCTCAAAGGACAAAAATTTTAAAGGAAAGTATGAAAGGGGTATTGAATGGCCCTTCAAAAGCCATGGCCGCTCACGTAGTTTCATTGTTTTAGTGGCTATGTGCATCTCGCAGTTTCAATTTTTTCATAACGCTGTCTGGGGGTCTAAACTTTTTGCAATGCTTATAAGATAGTCTCAAAGTCCTGATTTGTTTGGTTTTTTAAAAAAATCAATGGCAACTGAATGTCTTGGAGCGTTAACATGTCTCTTGCTCGAATTTAAGACACTTTGAAGTCTTGCGCTGATAAAAAACCACTAGTCTCCCCTTCTCCCAAAGTCTCACATTTTCCATTCACCAGCCCTTGTGAAACCGAAGTGGAATATCTGAAAGGGTAGGGAGGATGAAACCCAAAACCCTTCTACAGGGCAGAGTATGGATATTTTCTGAAACAATTATACATTAGACAGACCAGCAGGCTAAGAAACTTAGCAAATCCCTAATAAACTTTAACATATTTGCACTACAAAATTCTAGCACCCGAGGGGCCAATAATGTTGCGGGGATGGTGGTTGTGGGGGTGCGGGGGGGNGGGGATGGGTGTGTTCAAAGGGCCGCTGAGACATCAAGCAAATGCTCCTTTGTTAGGCATCTTCATTATAAATAATTTATGTCCAGCCGGTATCCATTAGGGTGATACAGATTTTGTGCCAGTGCTCTCTCACTTTTCCCAGAGACCAGAAGCCCATACCTTAATTGTCACTCGAACCCTTCCCCCACCCCCACCAATAATTCCCCGCTCATAACCTCAGGTTAATTGTTCCTTTGAAATGAACCACCTAATTTAAAACTTATCTTCCAGTATTCTGCTGTTGATATCTTGAGCAATTCAAAAATTTTAATGAATTTTAGACGTTCTAACGGAGCGAAATCGCGACTTCTGCAACCAAATCAATGACGAATGGCACACTCGCCAACATCATGAACTAATATCCCGAAATCTAGTCTTCCTCAAGAGTTTCTCTCCTAATTGCTAAAACTTACGTGTTCCAAGAAAGTCCTGATTTGATTTTCACGACTTTTTCTTGCATTTTGAGCTTGCTGGACGTAAGAAGCTGGGATAATATTGCCACACGCTTCGTAGCTACCCGAAAACATGTTACTGTCGCATAGAGCCTTCTTTAAGTGAGCAGTAGGTATTAAGAATTGCTCGCTCAATCATTCCGCGCACTCCAATACATTGGTATCACTTTACCTTGTAATTTTTTTCTGAGCAAAAAGCTACAATTATTTGGTACACTAATGTTTAAATTAAAATTATTATATCTGTTAACCAATATTTTTGGGTAGAAAAGGCGAAATAATTTTTTCGTATGAAAATACAAAGCGATTGATTGTCATTTTCTCTTTACCAACGAAGGAGAAGAAATGGAAATGAGTGCGAAGGCAATGGAGAGACAGAAATATCAACAGAAAATTCTGTAAAAATGGCATGTTTACAAGCGGGAACCGTTCTTTCCGCGACCGTAGAACAAGTCTTAGAAAATTGCCTTCTTGTTTGTGTAAAGTACAGGTCAAGAATATTTAGAGGAGTGCTTTTCGACGAAAAGAACGCAGTCGTCTGGAGGTAAGTCACCTTGTTTTTACAGTGAGTGTAAAATAATAAATTGTTAAAAATTATATCCATAAGATTATTTATTTGATGACACGGCCAGTTTAAAGGGAAAATTCATAAGCTAGTCTCTCACTTGTGTTTTTTGCTCTGTTTCATCTGATACCCATTGAAATCAATAAAGAACATCGCTTGATGGGAAAACAAGTCATGAGTCCATGAAAGAGAAACTTTCTGGAGGAGGTAGTGTTGGTGATGGCGCTTCGAGGTGGTCAACAAGACAAGCCAGCCTATTCTACAGACGACAGAACAATAAATCGTATCCTTGTAGAAGGATTCCAAGCTCATTTGGTGGCCCAAAAGTTCTTACTGATGCGGATTTAGCCAAGGAAAGTCAGGAGAGGTTTCCAAACATGGTGGAGAAATTGAACACTACAACCAAAAAACCATCTTCCTCATGTGATCAAACAAGGAAGCAAGGGCTGCTTATGAAAGCCAAGGAAAATCCTAGACGAAAGACTAGTTTGTCAAGCCAGGGGAATATCAAGCGTTCTAAATCTGAAGCTAACCTGAAGAGGAAGTCCTTAAATCCAGACAGCTGTAGCAGACCTTCTAAAAGACAACCAGACACTGTGAGGGTTGTAAGCAAGGGTGTCCCTAAAAACGCTGATAAGAAGCTCTCTAAGGAGGATTGCAAAAGCCCACTGAAAACTGAAGTAAGCAACGGTAGTGCACTATCCCATGGACCAAAGTATTCACCCACAAAGAGTATTTCTTCAACGCATTATAAAGTTCTCATGACAAGACCATGTTCTGTTCCAGTTGTACCAGTTAGTACGGCATCAAATACTGGACTGCAAAAACATGGTACTGTCTTGGTACTTAAAAAGGTTGGTGTGTCCACTAGTGTTGGAATGAACATGTTATCTTCCAGCGAAAGCTTGGAGTCATTAGTGCCTAGTTTGACCTATAAAAATGTCAACTGGGGTAATGATGACAAAGATGACCAGAATCAAGAGAAACAGCCTGATTTAGGGTTAAATCAGAAGACTGGAGTGAGCAAAAACAAGGACAAAGCCACATCTGACAGAACTGTTTCAGTCAAAGAAGTAAGTGTTACTAATATGGTAGCTGATGACTTTGAAAGTGGCTTAGCTAAACTGGACATAACTAAACAGGACATCATGTCAGGTGCGAATACATTTGATATCAATCCTCCATGTGAATTTCTTGTGGAGGGTTTGGAGACAAAAAGGAAAAATGAGAACAGTGTCTCAAGTGATCATGAGGAAACACTAGAAGCTACACAGGAATCAAAGTCTGAAAACGTCACGATCAAAAGGTCGGCAAGAATAAGTGAGAGAAGGGCAAACAGTGGGCAACCTCAACTTAAGACTGAAAATGTGAGATGTGAAAAATTTCCTCCAGAATCTAATGTGGCAAAAGTTGTTGGCTCAGATTACACTGGAGTGAATTCTGTTTCTAAACCTTTGACTCATGATACTTCAAGCCAACCAGAAAAAAGGGAATTGTCAGCCTCAATTTTGACCCAGCCAAACCCTGTAAAGTCCCAAAGTACCAGGACATCAATCAAATACACACAAAGAATGTCCTGGAGAATTCAGCCTCAAGTTGCACCTGTCAACAATATCAACTCAATAGGTGTTGGTGATATTGTGTGGGGCAAAGTTCATGGGCATCCTTGGTGGCCAGGGAGGGTGTTGGCCATCAGCGGGATCAGGAATGAGGAGACCAACAATCCGTGGGACAGGGATGCACATGTTTCCTGGTATGGTTCCAACACCAGCTCCATTATGCATTTACACGCTCTTCAGTTATTTCTACCCAACTTTGCTAAGCGGCACAAGAGGAATAAGAAAGGATTTTACAGAGTTGCTGTTCGACAGGCACAAGAAGCCTTGCAGGCCATGTCTGGCACTGAATGACAATTAACTTCCATTTGCAAAACTGCAACATACTGGTAAATGTTTCCTTGGTCTGCTGTTCACTGGGTGAAATTTAGTAAGAGCTCTAGGGTGCATCACTGGGCAAATGATCTGCAAACCGCTGATAGCACTTTGAATCCCAACTTTTTATATCTAATTATATTTTGTTAATTACTTACTCTTTAAATTTATACTTGCCAAGTAAGATCTGTTTTGTTTTCTTTATGTACTAATTACTATTGCATTATTTTGATAAATGCTTCCTAGTGTTGCTCAGATAGCTAACACGGGGTGTTTACCCCACTTTGTGCTTGAACAGTCAGAGTTCCCATTAATGCACAGGTGTACATCTTATATGCACAAAAAATGAAAAGGATGTACACTGTTTTGGCAAAAATGCATTCTTGGGATGCAGGAAAAAAGTTGCAAACTTTTTAGTAAATAGGCAAAGGACCCCTGAAAAGCAAAAAGAACCCCCAACTCTTTTGAACTGGGGGTCCCAAAGACCCTTAACTATCAAAACTAGTGGGAACTCTGACAGTAAATGAGAGGCTTTACAGGGCATAACCAACTTACATTGACTTTTGTATTTGTTTTTAATTCATTTAGATTACTCAGATATTTTAACTTTTGTTTACATGTGGTCTTTGATTCTAAAAACATCATTATCAGGGCTATATTTTTTTCTGGTTTTGGTCTTCACTTTGTAGAAAACAAACCAAAACTGACCTTAACATCAACAAAATGTCATTACCCCCCTCCACCACAATTCCAGGCCTTTGATTACAACAACCACCCCCCCTAAATTTGTATCTACTGTGACGCAGTATTTTGCTGCATTTTTCATGTGCAACTCAGTCACCGTGCAGTGATTTAGATTACTAGTTAAAAGGTCATTTAAGTTCAAAGTTTATGATGTAATATTGTAATTATTTCAACTGGCTGTTATTTGCAACTGTCATCTGTAAAAGTTGATCTCGTTGATCTTGTCATCTATTACTGTGCAAGTCAGTCATGATCAGGCAACGGTACCCAAGTCATTTCAACTATCAACTGAAATTTCCGTGCACAGTATTGATACTTAATTAACAGTCAGAACAGGTCATATAAGGGAGTGAAAGTGCCTTGATATCAAGTACAGCAGTCAAACATCCGCTAACAGACACCTCCTGTAGGCGGACACTTAGTAATAGACCCAGCCACAAACAAACATGGCACTCTTATCCTTCCGTAAGCAGACACCTCTCTTAAGCGGACACTTTTTCTTGTCCTGAGGGTGTTTGTTTACCATTGTTTCGATTTTAGTTTCAAAATATTTATTCTAACTGACATCCTGGTTAGAACTATTTGAAACAAACACCAGTATTGCATCACTTGCCAATGTTACCCTCAAATATGTTGGGTAATTTTTTTAGAAAATTTGTCTCAACAGTTCTGTCCAGGATTGAAGTAGAGTAACTATAAGACATTTGTGGATAGATTAAAGAGAATTTATATACTGACTTGATGTGCAAGGGCGAGAGGAATACTGTGAGTGAACAAGATCTGATGTCATGTAAATATGTAAAAGTTTTTGTCTAATACTGTGTTCATTTACACTATCATTGAAAAATGTTTAGAGTTAACCTGTTACATGAGCAACATGTTTCTCCTAAACTTGTTTGTCACTGCAGAGTGTAGCTTGGAATTGCTGTTACATTATTCTAATTTTAGTGACAAACCCTTTGAGCACTTTCTTTCTTTTGCTGTTGGCTGCAATGTTAACTGTTTTTGTCCATGAGGTTGTTCAATCATGCTCAAAATAACCATGATTTGCACAATTCACCATCCAATACAAATACTTCTCAAAGAGAAAGAAGTTTCATAATAAGACTAAACATGTTTCAGTCTGGTGTGAACACAGTATCACTGTTAAATAACGATCAACATCATTATTATCCTTGTAGCACCATGAGGTTTTTTAGAAAGGATGACAAATTAAAAATACTTGTAGGAATCTTACCACTGACTGAAAGTAAGTTAATTTATATTCATTATTTGAAAAGGAAAGTTTTTCCCTAAAGAATTGCAGATTAAGTATGTTCAGGCCAAATTAGTGAATTCTTGTTAGATGGCCTTGTTGAATTTATAAGCAAATGAGCCATAGGCTTAAATTAAGTTATTTTAAATATTTAGATAAAGATCAGATTGTTAACTTTCCTCAGCATGTAAATTTTGTAACAAAATGAGGAACCATTGCTGGACAAATAAATTAAAGTTACTCAGAGGTTATACTTAGTAAGTGAAGTTACACTCCACACTCATCCTGAACAGGGCTTAACTTTGGTAATCTGATGAGACATGGTTTCCTTGTGGTATGGTGATTCCAGGCTGAGCACATTGTTTTATTTCTAAGACCTCTCAAAAGAAAACAAAAAAAAGACAACTCAAATTTCAATGTTCACCCCTGGAATTGACCCCAGAACCTGTGATAATAAATGCCTAACTGAAGACCAGTTTTAGATCTCAATGGAGCAGTTGAACTGATCTCCTTAAGGTGATTCCTCAGTATTGCATTGCGCATCCCTTCTACGTTCGATTTTCACACCATAAGCACATGCAAAGATTTCCCTGAAGCTTAGCTTGACAGCAAAATAAATGCTTGATTTCTCTTAAACGAGCATAGTGACATATTTTTTATTGCATAATTTTGGTGTACAAATTATCTTCTTTAAGTTAAAAAATTAAGAAAAAAGTTGTTTAGAAGGAAAAACAGATATAGCTAAAAGAGTGCACAAAACTGAAACGCAAGGATGTGAATTATGACCTTGAAAACATTTCCAGGAACGTTTTGAGTCAGTCTCATTTAGAATTGAGTGATTTTGCAAAAAATTATATATTACTTTGTTCCATGTGCCCGATATTTTCTACTATCAAGATTTTTTCAAGTATTGCTTTAATAACCTTTGCTTCCAGCTACCACAAAATGCAGCTTGAACTGATGAAATAAGGTGTGATTAGGTATAAATGGGGTAAGATTGGCTCATCATGTCTCTTTAGTGAGAATGGTGACCTATCTTTTTTATTGTATTGTAGGGAACATTCAGGGAAAGTTTCAAATAAATTGTTTGGCAACTTTTATTTCTGAAGAATCACCTTAATGCTGTCATACAGGCCAATGGATGGGCTAACCCAAGACGAAGAAGTTGTCAGAAAGTAAATGCAAGTGGATGGAAAAATAAAAGAATAGGAAAGAAATGAGAACCTGCAATACAAGGATTTTATTACTTGGTCACACACCCAATACTAAGCTTAGCTAAAACTAAGGGTGTTTTAACATGTTTTATTGTTGCTATGGTAACCTGTTATACAAAAAGGATGATCGCAACCTGTTTACTAATGATTGGGCATTTGCGTGATACCATTATTGTAGCATCACTTGTTAAACAGTGGTAGTATTCATCCTTCAAAGTATAGCTTTTAGAAAAGTGCTTGAAACTGTTGTCAGCTTCCTTAAAGACGTTCGAGCTAATTGTTTCTGTGCATCCTTACTATGCACGCAAATTCACATGCCACGTCATGCATGAGAGCACACGCTAAGTAATAAAATGAGCAATGATAGGGCAGATGGCCATTGCCATAGCTTTGTCTGGATGTAACAATCTTGTCCAAAAATGAACAAAAAATCACGTGGGAATTTGAAAATTTTTTTAAGATTTCTGTGCACGGGACATTGAATCCTGCCATCTTGTGGCTGCAAGGCACATGAAACTATGGTCGTTAAATGTGAACTTGTTCTTTAAGGAACCTCGCCAGTTGAATAAATTCACTTAATAGGTCCAGTTAAACAACATTTGGCAGAGAACATTTCACTTCAAAGATCTAATTGCAATATTTTTGGGCTTACAGACACTGTGGCCTTATTCACTAATGAAGCCCGATGTTTTCAGATTTAGGGTGTTCTTCTGGGCATGTTCTCTCCAAAACGAAGTCGGTAACCCCCCATTTTTTTTTACATTTCTGACATAGCTAACTCATCATCTTACAGTGGTAAAAGTCTCAGAAAAAATTTTTTGCGCAAACATCCTTAAATTAGACACCTCACTTTTAATAAAACTACATTAACCAGTAGAAAGCTTTCATTTTATAACAGGGTACAGATAGCTTTTAACCAAATCACAAGGAAGAATAGTTTCTAATGACTTGTTCAGTAGCAGCAAAACTGTCCACAAAGTGATCTTCAGTCATTCCATATTTCAAATACTGATGCACATAGGCTCGTGAGGTGAACATGTTCCAAGCTTTCTGGACTACAGAGTCTAAAGGTGCTACAGGAGTTTGACTGTTGCTTAGCAATGTGGCAGACTTCTCATAATGGTTGAATGGTCGTGGGTGGCACCATACCGCATTAGCACAAGTGGATGGCACCCAGTTTGCATGTAGTCTTGGGTCATTAAAAGAAGACAAATCTGACCTATGAACATCTACTCCTCTTAACACCAAAAGATTGGCAACAGACTTGTTAAATCGGCTTCTCAATCTAGGCAGTTCTCCTGGTCTTTGATGAAAATCTGCACCATCTGGGTTTGATGGTACAGGCAACTTCACTTCCCAGTCAATACCTGCCAAGCAGTGAAAGAAGTCTCTCATTGGCTAGAGAGCACTAACATTGCAGGAAAGGATTTAGGGGATGTAAGTACAGCCAGACCCCGCTAAATTGAACTCCGTTATTTCAAATTCCTTGTTAAAAGGTCTGGATAGTAGTAGACATGTTAAAATTTTGAGAAACAACACAACCTTTTTTACATTGTCATGTTTCCTTTTGTTCTCATAGTGAATTAGCATTTTGCATACACTATATATTCAAATCTGTACTTTGTAACTTAAACTGAAGATGACAGAAGATTCTGTTGAAACATGTTTAAAAAACGTCGTGTTGTTTCTCAAAATTCCTTGTTATTTTGAACTCAAAACCATTTCCCTTGGAACTGCCCTACAGTCATTTACTATACTAATAGCTAATTCAAACTATTTTCTATTTCCTCTGAGAGTTTGAAATAGCAGGGTTCAACTGTACTTGAATAAAGGAAACTCAGCTAAACCCACAGGCAAACTTTAACTTTACAATCTCTCTCTATTTAACCCCTACACTGTAGGATACCACCATCTGAGCAGCTGTTTGAACCTAATGGTCAATCATTACAAAATCCATTATGCTGGAGAACAAGCTATGATCTGGGACACCCAGAGCAAAACAAAGGTCAAGCTTTACTAGTTTAAGTCATTTAATTGCTTTGGATTTCCCAGGACTCAGTTTTCTCCAGCATTGGAAATATTGTACCATGTGACAGTTAGTTGCAATGAAGGGCCCATTCTGTTTCACGATTGTAATGCAGTACTTATTATTTTGACAGGTAAGGAGAGAAAGAAAACTTTCACATAGGGAATATTGTTTTGTACTATATATCCAATATCTTAGAAGCAACATTTGAAACAATATAATTGTGGAAAATTGACATTCCAGGCCTAGCAACTGGGTTGATTTTGAACAAATTGCTTAACCTTAGTTTTTCTCTCCCGATCTGCAATATCTTTCTGATTTTCACCCCAACCAGTGGACAGTCCAAAGGTGCTAAAAAGGGGGGGGGGGGAGGGGAGAAGAGAGTTGGGGAAAGGGAAAGTGAAGATGAATCCTTTAGTGTATGAAAATGGGCACCTTTTTTGCTCCAGTGAAGCAGGGTGGAGGGGGATGAGGGTAAGGCTGTTTGGCCCCTGGGCCCTGGATTTTTTTTAATCAAACAGGGTCTCTCCCCTAAGTCTGCCACTGCCACCCCAAAATATCACACCCATCTGTAGTATGTACCTTCCTCCATGCTGGCATCAGCTATGAGCATTTGCCTTAGGTGCTTTAGCAGTCCTGGCCAAGTGAAAGTACTATAAGCTAAGGAATTTTCTGCCATTTGTGGAATGTTCTTTAAAGTCATCAGCTTGTATTCAGGATGTGGACAAACTTGTTCAATCAGATCTCCAAGCAGATTTCTCACTGAGACTGCATTTTTGTAAGACGCCGCATCCTGTCCGGGAGAGAACAACTTCACTGGCTGCAGCACGCTGGCAAGTTTATGTGAGATTACCCTGTTTATATCCTTGAAAGAAATGTGTTTTAAGTTCATTAACCTTGAACATATACTCTGCAACTTGTCATTCTCCAGGATAATTATGCCGTCTGAGCACTTGTACAAGTGAGACAAAGTTAGAATGGCGTTGTAATTTTGTACTATTACTTCCCCTGTCCCATAAGGCCAAACGACTTGATTCAATATAAACGAATGAGGAAATTCATCGCGAAGGCAAGCTGTAACATGAGCTCCCACACCTGAGCCAGTTCCACCAGCCAAGCTGAGCAAGATCAAAAATCCGCCTAATCTGTCGCATTTTTCCACCTCTCGCTGTACCATTTCAAGCACGGCGTCCGTTGATTTTGGCCCGTGTTCCAGAAAACCATGTGCCCAGTTGTTTCCAGAACCGCGTTTCTGGCAAAATTGTTGGCCCGTAGGATATGTCCACTTGCCTGACTTCTTGGCCTCCAGTAACGTTTGAGAGATTGCTTTAGACTCCATATCAATCATGACTGCACGTGCATTGATAGTTCCCGTTTTGTCTCGAGTGAAAAATCTCTCCACGACCTCTTCTTCATATTCCTGGTTAACTTTACGATCAACAGTCTTAGAAATAAACTGAGGATTCAGCTTTGTTGCGTCCTCTATTAGCAGATTGAACAGTTCTCCGCCTATCTGATTGCCACATTGGCCTAATTGTAGCGAAACAACGGACATATTGAACGTTAATCAAAGTTGCATCTCTTGTCCGCCATATTGGATCGAGGACCGGAGAAGCCTGGGGAAACTCAGTTCAGACTTTCGCGCCAAAAAATTTACCCATATCACCTGGCGCGGACCCTCGCGGGTGTTCGAGTGCACGTGCAAACGTGGGAGCGCGTTTATGTGGCTCATTTTGCGTCACAATCTTGTACAGAAAAAAGATTTCACTTCGAAACAGCAATAGCGTTGACATGGGGAGTTGCAATTCGGTGATAAGTTCAGGTGGTAAAATCGACAAAAACGAAGTGGAAGAAATAGAGGAAACACCTGTGGTCGAGATCTACATCCGATGTCCTTCAGAGACAAAATCAAGGCAATCGCAGCTAGAATTAAGACAATCTACTAAAAATACTACCAAGGTGTCCTCTAGCATTGAAGTAAAAGACATCGAGTTTGTCAATACATCGTCGATTCTGTGCGTAAATGAGTGCGAAGCTGGGTTAGAGCAGCGCTATAATATCCAGGAACACCCCGCTGAAAATAACTACAAATCTCTTAATATATGTACCCATAAGGAAAGCCTGTTAGAGCAAGGAAATAGCAGTAATGAGGAGTCCAGTAGCTGGTCTGAAAGGCTGTCTAAATCATCAGGTTTTCCAAGTTTACTCACCTTGCCACCGCCACGCCCTTCCCTGTGGAAAGAGCTGTATTTGAAGATACTCAAACCAAAAGAGGAATCATTCGAGAAGGACTTGATAAGAACATCACGAAGACGTCTGAAAAAGAAGTATGTCGGGCAATTAAAGAGAACACACCCGTTAAAGAAAATTCAGAAGTCAGTAAGAACAAATCGGGCAAGTTACTTCCGGCAATCAAACTGTATTACCGAGGTGCTGCCAGTGAACGAAAACGGAATCAAAATATATGATTTGGAGTGTGATAGAGAAGATGGAAATGAAAGCAGCGCTAGTGTAAGTCCTGCCAGTACAAGATCATCTGCTGCGGCGTCCTACGACAAGTCCATCTCGATTTCCTCGGGTGAAAATCCTAAGGAATCGAGCATTAGGGGTAATCACTGTGATCGAGTGGTCCAAGCTACATCAGGATTGGCGGATACAGGAAAAGAGGACACGGTGAAGTCTCGTGAACGATTTGGGTGGCAGAAAAACAAGGATGGGCTTTTTAATCTCAAACTAAACAAATTGGAAGTAAATAATTTTGGGAAGAAAGAATAAAATAAATAGTGCACTTTTGTGACGAATCCATTTGATCTATCACCCCTTCAAGATTGTTGAAAATAAATTTTTGATTTTGTGTGATTAGTTCAATTGGGCTGAATACGACCGGAGAGCAACCACGCCCACGAGAAACATCACTGTTAAACCACCCTTTTCAAATGTTACTGCGTCTAAAAGAGAACTTGAATTGCATTAAAGATCATTGTCACAATAGAAGAGTAATCAAAAGGCAAGTTCCTTCTGATCGTTGTTCTTTTCCGTCTTTTCCGCCTGCGATAAAGACTGCCGTCTTGCGCGAGTGCTCAGAAACTGTATCTTGTTGGGCTGTTTGTCTGGTAATCAGTCATGTCATGTCGCCCGAGGTCACCTCGCTTACTACAGATCTACTATAGCCAATATGTCACACTACAGGTTCTATAGCCAGTATGGGTGGAAAGTACTACCCATCTTATTGCACGACTAAGTTAGTTCAGTGGGCTAGTAACTAAAATCAACACGATCAGGTTGCTCCATTACCGGTCCAATATTGTCCAAGTATCAAACCGGGTGTTGTAACCGGTTCTACGGATTTGTCGGGAACGGTCGAAAATAACACGAGAAGCGATAATAACGGAACGCTCTTCAATCCTTAATACTCTTCGATGTTTACGGGACAGGATCTGGATCTGGATCTGGATCTGGATCTCGATACGACCAACGAGACGACGGCTCAAAGTATGTCTCGAATGACACTTAATATTTAACATGTCACCCAACGTGTCACGGTAACTACACCGGGCACTATCCCGGATGATTAAGTACGATCACTCTTGAAGATTTTCTGTAGTTTCATGGCTTAGGTTTCTGAGAGAACCTGTTTTCCAACTCTATTTACCGTCAGTTTTGTTTAACATCAGACGTGAGTATACGCAAAGTCGGCTCCCAGTCAGAATTACGCGTTTGAAGTTCGAGATGTTTTTCCACTCCGTGATCGTAGCATTTCTTCTTAACAATTTCCGTCGTGCAATAAATCTCTTTAAGGCAATGTCAAGACCTCGGGCCGATATTCTACCACAACGGCCCTCGCGCTTGATTAATAAGACATATATAATCTGGTTCCCAGAGCTTCTCACTCTTCACGAGATGTGTTTCCTCTAAGGGGATTATCTGGGTAAGAGATAAAAAATTTCCTCGAGCCTTTGTAAATGTGACATCAACTTTGTACCTCAAACCTTGTTTGACTGACAAGGTCACAACAGCGTTCTGCAAAGGGCCCATCCACTTTCTATCATCACATAGTTCTTCAACACAAAGAGTTGAGTGTTTTATTAACAACAGTTTGCTGTGTTTGGAAATTCACAAGCACTATAACCAAAAAATCCAAACAGAACAAACCAGGAAAAATACAAAACATCAACACAGTCAAGTTATCCAGCAGTTACAGTGAACCTTAAAGGTAACAAGTTAAATTCTCCCGAGCAACTCCATTATACATTCTTTCAATGGTACTTCTGGTGTTGCATCAGCACTATCCCCTTAGTCAGGGACCGCGGAGGCGGAGGGGCTGGGATTTATTTTCTAGGGCTCCAGATGGCGCGCAAATGCAAGATAACAGTGACCTTAACGTTTGTTTGTATTGGTCTCCGCGGTCCCTGTATGTTGATTTGCGTCTTCTTTCTCACTACCTCTTAACAAAATATTATGTTGATATTATAAGGAGAAATTGTACATTTATCACTCTCAGTAATACAAGAGTAAAAATAGAGAAGACTAAAAGACAGCACAGCACAAGCAGTAAGTTAACCCTGTGAAAAAATAACTATATACAATGTGCAATTGATAATACAACCTAGCTGAAAATACTTTTTATACAATCATTTCCTTAATGTCCTAGAAAATTAAATGATACACATTTCAAATGCAATAAGCACAAGTTTTGATGAAAAGACCATATTTACAAATGACAACCATTTGTTTTCAACACTTCAAGAATATTTTAGTGTGGAAACTCAATCTTCATAAGTATAAGAGGGTAGGGACTAACAAAATTGATTCAACTTAAAATTCAGTTTAAACATTTCGTATTTTTTTATCATTCATGTTTTGATTTGACTAATAAAATGGACACTTCTCAAGTTAGAGAATATACTCAGCTAACTTTGAATCGTGGATGACAAGTCTTCTTTTCTCATGTAGATATCTAAAATCTGAGTGATTCACACAACAACAACAAAAATTACACAAATTAGTGATAGGATATTTTCAATCACTCTTAACATCATATTAGCTGGACAAATAACAAAAGTAGGGTTACCAAATACAAATATGGTCTAAACTTCAAACATATTTTAATAATGAAATTGCAATGTCAATAATAACAATAATAATTATATTGCGATTTTATAACATTAACTATTATAATGATTTGATTATTAATTAAACCCTACTCATGTAAGATATTCTGTGCCTAATCAAAGAACTACTCTGTAACAAACATGTTTAGGATCATTTCTAATGGAGTCTAAAGAAGATGGGTGCAAAAAAGGGTGAAGCAGGCCGAGAAAAAAGAAGTGTTACCACAAACTCACTAAGTGCTAGTGTCCAGTTTATTTAACCTCTGACTCACAAATAAAGTCCAGTTAATGAACCAAAAGCAGAGTTCGGTGTTTTAATTTAAACGTTTCAAAGGTGCATATCTGAACCGATTTGTTTAAGTTCTATAACAATCTATATTGTATCATAATGGGTCTCCCATGTAACTACAGAACCAACATACAATTTCAGGCAAAATCCTCTTGAACTAATTACACTAAATGCAGAAAGTCAAACAGTTCGGTCTGAATGTAGTTTACATGTAGAAAAACATGACGGCTGTAAATCGATTCACATAAGCGAGTGAAGGAAGGAGCTCCATAGCAGAGGAAGACTTGTAGTCAGGAAAGGGCTAGTCAAAATGACCTGGTAGTTACAGTAATTTGGATTAAAATTTCAACCAGCAAACAAAAGCAAAATTTGAGGTCACGCTGACCTTTGGTTACAGGCAAAATAACAGTGTACTTTGAATCCCTGCAAGAGGAGACTGGATCCTTTTTCCTTGCTATAGGCCATTGAAAATGACTACTAACATTGTGCAGGTATAAATTTAGCATTGGTAATCCAACACTACGTGTACATAATATATGATATTGTTTGCACATGTTGTATCTGATGATCTAACATAGACATCACTTTGTTTTGCTGAGCTTCCTGTAACGGTCTAACCAGTCATCAATCAGTTGATTGAGTAGTGCAGGTCTTGGTGTAACCTTCTGCTGTGCCACAAGGACCCCACCCTCTGTCACACAACAGTCTAGCCACTCACGCAACAAACGCTCTTCGCTGCCCCTCTGAAAAGTTAACAGCATAACAGGCTCAGTTCACTTGAAAACCATACTAGGCAGCTACAGAACTTCAGAAATGCAATTCTTTTTTAGTACAGTTTAACCTCTCTAATTTGGATTAGAGAGTCTTCAGCATTATACAAGTCACAGATGTGAGGTCAGTGTAAAGGCTCCAGTCATAGTATAGTGCTCTTCAAGTCAAACTGACCCAAGCAGGTCTTCAAGGTGCAGCTAACTTTTTCAATAAACATTTATTGGATGCCATTGCAGTTTTTTCATGATAACAGAATAAAATTAATTGGTTAAGTATTGTTTCAGCAGAGAAATCAATTAGGGGTGCTACAAAGAACTAGAAATACTGATGGAAAAAGGTGATATCAAATGTTAAATTTATTGTACATGTGTACATAATAATAGTCATTGATTAGAGATCATAAACAGTACATTGTATTGAATAAGAAATCATCATTGGTTTGTCCATAATATACAAGTCAAATAGACAAATTTGGCTAACTCACGCGCGGGTGTCACGTGACTTGAATTGGGTACAACCCCCTCATTTTTTCTTGGTACAACAACAACCAAAACAAGTGCGTATGTATTGACATTTAGAGAAAAATAAGCCACGCTTCAGCGGTTTTGTTGCACCGGAGACTGTCAGAACAGCTCCGCTAAGATCTGAAAAGATCTGCCGTTTCACAGGTTTCTGTTAAATTTTAAAAGTCTCCTCTCTGTTTGGATCGTGAAAATGAAAAGAGATCCACGATATTTCAACGTCAGTACTGCAGCGAACACTTTACATCAGAAGATTTTATTAATCCTTACTCTAGTAAAATTAGATTGAAGGCCAATGCAGTTCCTTTTTTTTTCATGGGATAAAGATGAGCAGGAGAAGGTCCAAGCAGTGAAGAGGTACGCTTCAGAAAAGATGAATCAAAGCAGAAAAGAAAATGAAGCAACGGATTCGGCAGCATCTGAAGGAGAATGTGTGATGTTAGTCTTGACTAGGGCTGGCGAAGAAATTATTTCTCAAAAGGCACAAACATCTTGAGGATGAAACCTGTAGTTAATTAGATGAACATCTTAGAATTCCCAGGTTACATAATTTTTCTGTATCCTACCTTCTTTCCGAATGTACAACCCAAAGAAAGGGGGAAAATTCATTACACTTTTCACAGTATTTAACAGTCATGGTGAATTCCTAAATATCATAACAATTTCTGTTGCCTAATCTAGATAGAAAAATGCAGATTTAGTGGGATACTACAACGAGAAAATCAAGTGTTATTAACACAGAGAAACTGCTCTTGAAATATACCAAGACTGGGGTAGTCATGTAAAGATTGCATCACTCGGGATATCTTTGATATTAAGACATGAATAATCATTCGACTGGAACAATGATGCAAATACATGATTGTAATGTCCACCGCTTCCTCTCTTACAAGAAGAACGTGCTTAATTAATTAAAAACTTCTGCCCTGCCATCGCTCTCCCTGAAGATTACGGCTAAAATGAGGCTCTTCAATTTTTCTTAGAGATCTTTAGCAACATGCCTTGACATGGAAATTCTCCAACTACTTACACGTGTAAACATCGTCAACATACCCTTCCCGAAAGAACTTATAGCTTTTCTCTCCAGCATTCTTTTTTCCGCCTTGCTCAAGCCATGAAGGCCATGTTTGTTGACCCAAATTTTGGAAAATTTCTCGAGATTTTGACCATTTCTATACTTTATTGAATAAACAACTACAGCAACGCACATGATTAACACAACAAATACAAGTGGCTGTAATAATAAAGAAAATGTTAAGGGAGCCGCGTTTTCACACAATGTAAACACCCGATTCAATGTCACGTGTGTGTTAGCCGAATTTGTCTATTCATACAAGTTAAGGTCTGTTGTCCGCATTAGAGGGGGCTGTATTATAAAGGGAGTTTTTATAACTGGCATTTTGCCCAGATCAAGGGAACTGGATCAAAGTTACTGGCCACAGAGTCATCAAAAGGTGGTAGAAATCATCTGTTGCCTACAGAAGAGGAATCTCAAGTAAATCAGCAAAACAACTTTATTCTCTACACAGATTTTTCAACAATGTTTTAAAACCATCTAATATCTAATCATAATGAATTATGTCTGGTCCTCACCTCTTCTGCTGACAGAAAGTGAACAGGTAGCAGTTTGCCTTCATAGTCAACCAGGGGCAGATACGTCACATGAACACTATCTATACTATCCACATTAGCTCCCGCACCAAGCTCGTTGGAATTGTCTGTTTCCATAGCAACTAAGGCAGAGAAATGTCCTCTGGTGTAGCCCAGCACTAATGGATTTTTCCAGCAGAAACTCTGTTCCCATAAAACAGGAAGATAAACACCTAAACAGACAGGAAAGACAGCGGAGTAAGAAAATGTACTTTACAAGAAATACAACACTTCCAGAATGTTACATGCTATTCATTCCTGTGATTGTCTCTAGAGTGCATACAGTAAATTCTATCCAAAGAGGAACCAAATGATGTGATAATATACCACCTTTGAATTCGAAACACAGTGGACAAAAATTTATGCAAAACATAGTTTGTAACAAGCCCACAGAAGAGTTACCAAAGCAGTAGTATTTACCGGTATGTGAGTCTTAACTGTGCATTTCTGCTACTTTATGTGTCAAAACAAAAGGACACACAAAGAAATGTTGTCCATTGCAGCCATTAGTGGATAGAATCATTGACTGACAGCCCAAATAACAGCTGTGAAGAAATGTCACTAGTATGTGTAGAGTAATAACAGTTTACACAACAAGTAGGAGAATAAACAAGTCAACAGTACCTTGAAACCTAGCTAGCCCAAGCACCTCCCCTCTAAAGCTCTTGACATATTTCACACCGTAGATGATGACAGGTCTGCGGAGAATGTGTGCCAAAGCAAACACATGTGTCTGTTCCAAGGACGTACCAGGTTGACCTGCAAGACTGAGAATGGAAGCCCAGTCCTGTTCCCACTGGTCTTCATCCAATGAGTACTGCAGTGTTTCTGCCTGCATTGATTCCCACTCCTTGTACCTGTTGAAAAACCTGTTGACATAAAACACAACCTGGGTTGGTGGTATGAACATTAATATTGATGAACATAAAAAAAAATCGTAGAATTCTTATAGCTTGGATCAATTAACAGGAGAGTCTCTGTTTATGTCAACACCCTTTGATCCTCTCACTAACAAGAATGTTTTCAAAAATAAATTTTGCCTAGTAAATTTGAAAGGGTAATAAGTTGATAGCTACTGTGCCATTTAGTAACTGTGGCAACTTTGCATTTCCTCAATATGGAATAAGATATTTCCTTTTGAAAAATGTAAAATTCCACTTGTGTCTTACCTGGAGCCTCCTTCAGTTAAACTGTCATACAATGCTCTTCTTAATGTGTTATCCCTATCAAACACCCCATATGAAGCCTGAAGAACTGAGTCAAGAAGACAATCTCCAGCAGAACGATTCCACAGGGGATAGATCCTACTGCCTAGCTGTTCAGTGATCTCTTCACTCCAGTTGATAACAGGAGACTCCATTTCTAAAACTAAAACAACAAAAGAATGCGTAGTTCCAGAAAAATATCCATACTTCCTCCATGGAAATTCCAATTAACTATCAAACCTTTCTTTACATGTTTGGTCTTACAGAATCTAGGCACCCCCAGAAAATTCCAGCCCCTTCTGTGGGGAGTATGGATATTTTCTGGAACTGCACAATGTTCTGAGTGATTGAAAATCTCAAATGAATTTGATGATTTTCCTTTAGTTGCATCTCATATTGTACCAAGAAATTAGATGTTTGTCACCCTAGGATGTT